TTGAGACAGAAACTACTCGATTCAAAATTTGCTAAGCAAAATTTATTGCACTTAGTGGATCAGTGTTTTCCAAATTAGATTTTGTTGTCTGCATAAAATTTGTATCTCTTGGTATTAGCTTTCCAATGGCTTTGTAATCACCTACAAATAAGGTCTAGAACTCAAGTTATGATCTTTTTAGTAACCAAAGGTCAAGCTGTTAACATTAGTCATAAATGTTGTGGTTTTTGTGATTTTCAACAGAATAAAGGATGGAGTTAGAACTTGAGATCTTCATAAGAAGTTCAGGTAACCTTTTAAGCTTTCTTATGAGATAAGGATAAACATGATAGGAGTAGTATAACTCCCTGTGTGTTATTTTATGCAAAGATTGTCATTCTATGATAGTTGATTTTGATAAGTTGTACGTTGATACATGTTGTATAATGTTTTAAATTATCTTATAGTTGAATGAGAATATATGAACTGTATGATGGATGATGCTAATTATGTTGTTAAGGAGAAAAATGATTTATGGATATGTTGCATATGCTACGAAGTGTTATAAAGTTGAATGGTGTAAGTTGGTTGACATGTAAGTTATAAGAATTGTATGATGCTAAGTTGCTATAGATGTGTGATGAAATGGTATGTTGACAATACAAATGGTTGTACGTTGATGTTGTATGTGATGAGGTATATGTTAAATACTAGGTTTATTGTTGTTGTTGAGTTAAAAGTTGGTATGCATGTTGATAGCTGGTTAAGTTGTAAAGATATAAGATGATATGATATTATGTTGTTGTATGGTTAAGACGTAAGTTGAATGATGTTTAAGTTGTAATGATGTACAATGATAAGTTGTTAAGTTGTTCAATTGTCAGTCATGTGGTTGTGATACAAGTCTATATTCAGATACATAGGAACTAGAGGAGAGTTAAGGATATTTTTGAAATTTAATATCACATTGTGTAGATATACATTGTATGGAATCCTTCAGTAAGTAAGTCAACTTCTAAATGACTAAGTTATTTTTAGTTGTCTTCTCTAAGGTTTATGTGGTATCCAAATGTGGGCAATTCACACCTTGACTACTTATTAACCTAATCTATTTACCTTAATGTTCTTATAGGTTCTCTTTGCAGGTGAATTAACCTAAGGTAATATATTATCCATTTCTAGACACAAAAGACATCTAATTGAATTAAATCCTACTTTCATGATTTAATGTCTAAGTTTCTTTCTTGTAGTTTCAACATTAGATTCCCCTTTCGATTTTTCTCTAAATCTATAAAATTATTTTTCTTTTTTATTAGAAATGTATAAAATTATTAATAACATGAAATGTCTCATGATAGAGCATATTTGATACATCTTTTTGTATATTACATTGGACTTATTTGACCTTCATGAGTGTCTTAAATTGATGAATTGGTTGTGAATTGTTTTAGTGGGCTTTATAGGTTTTAACTAAAAATTCTAGTTAATTTTCGTATTTTTTTTCCACTTTAACACATCTCTTTCTAGGACATATCTTGAACTTACGAATTTAGATCGTGGTGTCCTAGGAAAGATAAGACAAAACTTTATAAAATCCTTTTAGAACTACAACTAGTTCTGATGTCTAAGGGCCCAAAAATGTGCCAAAAATTTCTGCCCCTACACTTTGGATTAAGTTTTCTTTAGGAAGCTATTTTAGGATTAGCTTAGTATTGTTATTAGGCAATTAATCGATCTAACTTGTAAATAAATCTAAATTAAGTCCACAAAATTAGTCTATTAATAGGTATAAAAAGACCTGTCTTACACATTTTTTTCTCATTTTTTATATTTGAAGTTGTTTCGCTCTTAATTCTATAAAGTTCTTAATTCTGTTAAAAAACCTCCTTTCTAACATTGCATGATAATTTCAGATTTAATTAATTTGTGTCTCTATCAAGAACAACCTAAATTTGTTCATGTACTATAAATCTAAGAGGAATTTAGTTATTTTTATTTTATAATGATCCAACAATACTATCATCTCACATGGATAAATTCAAAAAGGAAAAAAATTAAGAAGAGAAAGTCAATGACTAAACTCCATAGAAAAAAGATGACTACTCACAGTTACTCTTAGAAAAAAGAGTAAAAATCTTGGGGGAAAAAAAAGAGAAAAAAAAGACTTGATCCTAAGCTATTGCCCCATTCCATGAGGGCTTTAGTCCTTGGGTACTTTTCCTAGGTTTAGAATACTATTTAAACTCATGGGCTAAAAAGGTTCAGGCCCAAATTACAAAAGATAGAACACAAGTGTTAGGGTTGCTCATGGGCTTTGACCACTTGCTCATGACCGTGAATGAATATACTCCAATGTATTGAAGTAAGAATAAAGCTACTCACTGGACTAGTCACGACCATGAGCAATATCAAGCCCCAAAAATGTGTTTCTATTTATATATTTGGTCTTTTAAGCTCCTGATTATACTTTAAAGGGTCTGTAATGTCTTTCATTTTTTTACTTTTCGTGCCTTTAAGCCCGAAATAGGAACTCCTGAAATATAAATACATCCAACCCATAACAAATTCCCAAAAAGTAGAAAATAAAAACAACGTGCTATGAGCAAGTCCTAAATGTCAAAACATGCAATTTTTCCTAAGTAAAATACAACATATCAAGACTCACAAAAAAATTATATTTTTTTTAATAAAATTTAGCTAATAATAAAAAGTGTATTTTTAGTTGATAATTGTCAAATATGTATATATTGGTGAGTAATATTAGACAATTATCAAATATGTCTTATATTTTTTTATTATGTTTTTAACAAGAATAAGCAATAAAATTTGAATAGGTTATTTTACACACATTTTATTATTTATTAGATATTTTTAATGTTTTTAGTATTTTGAGACACATGAAGAATATGAGAAGAGAAAGATCTATGGAATAATAAATAAAAAAATAAATAAAGACAATGGACACCTACTCTATAGAGAGCCTCGCTTAAAGCGAATTATTCCGATCCCTTGTATTTGAAGGTTGAAGATAAAGATCGTTTTAGTAAGGCTATTTGTATTCTTAATATCCGTAATTGGTTATATCTTTTGGTTTATCATTATTTTAAGCTTTATTTTTAAATTACATTTTAATAATTTTTTAAAACATTATTAATATCATATAATATAATTTAAATTGTTCATTATAAATTTAAGATTTAAATATATTTTTAATCTGTGTAAAAAAAATTTGATTTTGACCTTTAAAATATTTTTCTTTATTTTTTTTTCTAAAATTTGCTAACGTTGTTTTTTATCTTCAAAAATAAGCAAATTTAGTTTTAATCCCATCAAAATATTTTTCTTTGATTTTTATTTCTCTAAAATTTAAAGTCACTCTTTTTCATCTTTAATAATCACTTTAAGATGAATAAATAACATTTATTTTATTCATTATAAAAAAATTTAGTGGTATTAAGCATTCTACATCCACATGACATTATTCTGTATTTCGCTCATTGTGGAAAATTATTCATTGTTGCCTTTTGTAGAAGTGTGAGTTATCTCTCATTCCTAGTGTGATTGATCATCCTCTTGGATTTGTTACTAATTATTGTGTTAGTAAGTCATTGTCTCACCAACTAGTTAATCATATGTGAGCTTTGATGGGTTCCTCCTTTTGCTCATTAGCCTAAAGGGTATTAGCATTTGTTTCTGATTGTTGTTCTCTTTCCAAGGTTAGGTTCTTACGCGTTACTCATGTGCCACTAGAAATACACTAGTGGAAAATCAGTCTTTTACATCATTGTTTTCTCGTCGGTCATAAAAACACCCAACGTAAAAAATATGCAGTGACATTTTTTAAATTAATCCAAACTTTTTTACGTCAGACCCCCTTTGGTATGACGTAAAAATTAAAATCTACGTCGGATATGAAGTATAGTCCGACATAGATTTCAATTTTTACGTCGAACATCTTTTGGTCCGACGTAAAAAAGTTGTTTTATTCCCCCAGCACCTTCATCTTTTTCGTGCGTGCAAGTATTTTTACATGTTTTCCTCTGGTGATTTCCGGCGACGACAATGACGGTGAGCGGCGACGAATTGGGTTGAAGCATTTAGGCGTTTTCATGGATAGAGGTTAGTGCTTTCATGCTTGTGTTGATCTTTTTGTGTAAAAATATTGTTTTACTTTTGCACGTGAGTGTTTTGACACTATTTTCCTATCCAACGGTTTTCAGTGACAGCAATGATAGACCTTTGGGTGTTTTCCGTTCATGGTGCACGGTGGCAAGACCCATTTTTTATTCTGGACCTATCTCTCCAATTGAATTGAAGCATTTGAGTATTTTTTGGACATGTTTATGGATTGAGATTATTTTTTTATTTATCTGTCAACCATTTTACGTCGAACGTGGAGATGTCTGACGTAATTTTACGTCGGCTAAAATACCTGACATAAATTTATGTCTCCCGCATTGACGTCGGACTTTTTTATAACGTAAAAAATCTAAAATAATAGACGTAAAATATCTCTTTTGTACTAGTGATACCACTTCCCATCTAACTTGCACGTGTAAGGCATGGGCACCAACGTTCATCTTGAGCTAAGATTGAACTCACATGAGATTCCTAATTGGATTACTTATAATTTCCTTGTTGGTACGTAGACATAGCTAATTCAAAATTCTATTTCATTCCAAGACATAACTTGTATTGAGGTGCTTCATGTTCAATTGGAGTTCACTCCTAGAAATAAAGCCCCCCACCCCTTGTGAAAAACATTGAAAGGACTAAAAAAATTATGAGCATAACACACTAATATAGTCAAGGACGGAGCCAAGGGGGGACCTACGGGTGCCACGGCCCCCCCAACAATTTTAATTTTTTTTTATATACATATATATTACTATATGGCACCCCCTATTTTTAATATAAACTCATATGTATAATTAAATGAATAACCCAAATTTATTTTTTTATTCAACTTTTGGACTTCTGGTACGGCCTGCTATGTGGTATCACTTTGGAATTTTTTTTTTTTTAAAAAAATGTAGCGCCTCATTTGATCATTCCAATTCTTGCCTTCTCAATTCTCAAGTAACACTGGCAATAGGAATAGGATTGGGTAGTGACTATTGACTAGTTAGCATCACAATTCACAGCTTGCACCACGTCAATCAATAATCATCAATTCGTCATTGATTCTTATTTCATAACAACACCTGCACCGCATCATTGGTTCTTCAATCTCTCCTTGGCTCCTTGCGTCTTCAATCTCTCTTTTTATTTTAGTTCTTCAAAAGGTAAATTAACACTTCTTTTTTGTTACTAATATTTTAATGAATGTTTTCTTTTAATTGTTTTAATATTTTCCCCTTTGCTATTATGCTGAAAACCCTTTTCCCCTCAATTTAATTAGAATTTGTTAAGAGTGTTACTACTGTGTTAGTGTTGTTGCCTATTTCGTATGATTTTTATAGTTTTAAATTCTTTTAGGTTCAATGAAGATGAGGAAGACAACTATTGAATCATTTTTCAAAAGAAAAGAGAGAGATGATGAAGAAACACTGTCTAATACACCAATTTCAAATTTAGATACAAATGTTGATGATGTTGCTGAAGTTGATGAGCAACAGCCACCTCCTCCCAAAGCTTTGAGGACTGAACAAGAAACAATTGAGAGTGGTACCTTGATTCGCGATCCTGGAAAACGTTTACAAATTTGGAACTATCCTATTAATCAACAAGATGATATTCGTAGGGCGTATGTGAAGTTTGGACCATATCAATTTTTAATGGATTTGTATCCACTTTCAGGTCTTGAAGATCATCCTCGCCGATTTCAAGCTCATTGGTTTAGAATGTTTTCTTGGTTAGAATATTCACCGGAAAAAGATGCTGCCTATTGTTTTCCATGTTTTTTATTTTCTAAAAAACCAAGTCCATTCACTTCGGCAGGATTTAGAAATTGGAAGAAAGTGAATAATGGAAAAGATTGTGCATTTTTATCTCACATGGGGAAAAATATTAATTCTGTTCACAATGCTGCTCTTAGATGTTTAGAAGATTTCAAGAATCAATCATGCCACATTGATAAAGTGTTGAACAAGCAAACTTCACAGCAAATTCTAAGCAATCGGTTGCGTCTTAAAGTATCCATCGATGTGGTTAAATGGTTGACATTTCAAGCTTGTGCTTTTAGAGGACGTGATGAGAGTTTGTGGTCAACAAATCGAGGTAACTTTCTTGAAATGATTAAACTCTTAGCTTCTTATAATAACGAAGTAGATCAAGTTGTCTTGGAGAATGCTCCTCAAAATGCAAAATACACTTCACCTACTATTCAAAAAGAAATTTTAAATGTTTTTGCTAGAAGGGTGCAAAATGAAATTCGAGAAGAGATTGGTGATGCAAAATTTTGTTTGATTATTGATGAAGCTCGAGATGAATCTAAGAGAGAACAAATGGCTATTGTTATTAGATTTGTTGATAAGAATGGATTTGTTAAAGAGCGCTTCTTGGATTTAGTACATGTGAAAGATACTACATCATCCACTCTTAAGCAAGAAATCTGTTTAGTATTGTCTAATCATAATCTCAACATTGAAAATATTAGAGGCCAAGGATATGATGGAGCTAGTAATATGCGTGGAGAGTGGAATGGTTTGCAAGCTCTTATTCTTCAAGAATGTCCTTATGCATATTATGTACATTGTTTGGCTCATCAGTTACAATTAGCTCTTGTTGCTGCATCTAAAGATTCAAGTGATGTTCATGCTTTTTTTCAAAACTTGAGTAGGATTGTTAATGTTGTGTGTTCTTCTTGCAAACGCAATGATGAGTTACATGATGCTTATGAGACTGAAATTGCACGTTTGGTTGCAAATGATGAGATTGAAACTGGGAGGGGAGCTAATCAAATTGGCACACTACAAAGACCTGGAGATACTAGATGGAGTTCTCATTTCAATTCAATATGTAGCCTTCTACGCATGTTTAATGCAACTACTTCAGTTCTTGAAGATTTGGTGGTTAATGGAACTGGCTCTCAACGAGGTGATGCTACTTATGCTTTCAGAGTATTGATGTCTTTTGAATTTGTTTTCATTTTACATGTTATGAAAGAAATTATGGGAATCACAGACAAGCTTTGTCAAGCTTTGCAGCAAAAGAATCAAGACATTGTGAATGCTATGTGTTTGGTTTCTAGCACAAAGTCACTAATTCAAAAGTTAAGGGATTTTGGTTGGGATTCTCTTTTAGAAAATGTTAACTCTTTTTGCAATAGCCGAGGTGTACCAATTCCTGATATGAGTGCTACTTACTCTGACATAATTCGAACTCGGCTTAAAAAGGATTCTGTGACAGTTGAGCATCATTATCGTGTAGATATATTTACTGCAGCGATAGATTATCAATTGAAAGAATTGAATAGTAGATTCAGCGAGCAATCAACTGAACTTCTTATGTTGAGTGTAGCTTTGGATCCTAAAGATGCATTCAAATCATTTAATGCTTGTGATATTTGTAGTCTAGCTAAGAAATTTTACTCTTCAGATTTTTCTGACCAAGAAATGATTCATATGGAATATGAATTGCAACATTATGAGTTTGATGTGCCAAAGGATCCCAAATTTCATAATTTGTCAACTCTTGGTGAATTATGTCAAAAACTAGTAGAGGTTGGCAAATCAAATGTTTATCCTTTAATTGATCGATTGATACGACTTGTTCTTACTCTGCCCGTGTCAACAGCAACTACAGAACGTGCTTTTTCAGCTATGAAGATTATAAAAACAAGTTTGCGCAACAAGATGGAAGATGGTTTTCTTACTGACTACATGATTGTTTATATTGAGAAGGAGATTGCACGAAGATTTACAACTGATATGATAATTGATGATTTTTACTTCATGAAACAACGACGGGCACAACTTAAGAAATAAAGGTACATACTTGAATAACTTGATCTTGCAATATGTTCGATATATTTATCAAATGTAAATATGAGAAATAATTTTTATTAAATTATGTTAATTATTATCTAGTTTTGTCAGATAATATGCTTTTGATACTTTAATTTTCATTTATTATAAATTATATATTATTTATTCTCGGCCCCCCAGTATTGAAATCCTGGCTCCGTCCCTGAATATAGTATATGAAACATTGATATTTCAATTTGCTTCATATATTCGTATCTGATATTGATACTCTTGAATACTACTTTGATATATATTTGTGAAGAATCCAAAACTTTAGAAATATTATTAAAATCTTACTTCGTCTCAATATTTTTGGATACTTAATCGATACTTATTAATTATATATCAATGAAGTATCTTAATCATTAATAAATTATGAAGTGTCTATTACAATTAAATAAGACATGTAAATATGTTTAATATAGAAATATTGTCACTTAATGAACTAAAACTGATTTTTTTTTGTTATTGATGATTTTAAGAAAGAAATCAGATCGATAATATTATTTTTATTTGTAAATGATAGGGAGTAATTTATGATGAAATAATTTATAATTTATAGTTTATTTGTTTTTAGCAATGTATAAGAAGTATGTCTTTTAATTTATATTTGCAATTATATATTTATTATGTTTGTAAATTTTGATCAAAATTACTATCACAACATTTATTATATATTATGAATATTGATATATATGAAGATGTAAAGACAATTATCTTAAATATCGTATCTTATATATTTTAAAATAAGTGTATTGTCATATTGTATCTGATACACATATCATATATGTAACAATTCTGACTAAACGTTTGAAATAGTTACTTAACTTTTTAGTAAGTAAGCAAACAAGTAATTAAAAATCACATGGTTAAAAATAATAATTTTAAATTTTAAAGAAGTGAAAAAAAAAATTACAAGGACCAAAATTAAAATTTCTTCATTTTATAAAAACTAAAAATATATTTTTTTAGGTTCGTTCCTAGAGTATCTACCGCCGACAGCAGTGACTAATCTCCTCGCTACGTTGGAGGCACCTCAAAGGGTGGGATAGCTGGCCCCAAGATTTAACACGGCTGCATACACAAGGCAGATCTCCTCGCTACGTTGGAGGCACCTCAAAGGGTGGGATAGCTGGCCCCAAGATTTAACGCGGCTGCATACACAAGGCAGGATTCGAACCCCTGACCTTGCTTAAGCGTGGATTAACCCCTACCGCTGAACCACACGCTTGGGGTTAAACTAAAAATATATTTAAACTTGAATATTTTAAATTAGATAAATTATAACTTTAATTAGTTCTTTATTTTGTTACTAATATTTATTATAGTTTTTTATATTTTAAAAGATTCATTTTTGTCCTTTATGTATGTAAAGTGACACAAATAAATGCTTTCTCTCATTTCATTTAAATAAGAACAACCGGAGTTTATTAACTTCATCATATCAAGATTGGGTGATTTGTTGACAAAGTTTGACGATTTCTCTTGACTCAACTATTTCTATGGGTCGGGAGTTTTGTTAATTTGACTAATGATAGGTTCTTTTGTTCAAATAGTGTATTTATAGTTATGAAACGAAATAAGCTGTCTAAATTTAAGATGGATGACATGTTATTGATTTCTTGGACAAAGAAACTATATTAGTTAGGGTAGTAAAGAAAGAGTGAGGAGGATTTTCTTTTTGTTTGGTATTTTTTTGCAAAAATAAAAATCCCTATAAAGTTAATATTGAACTACAAGAAATCAAAGAAATGTGTTACATGTATAGGTATTAGATAAATACTTAAAAGACATACATAATTAAAATCTCTTCTCCTAAGATAATGACTCATCACCCTCATCCACAAGTTCTCTAATAATTGTAATTAGTGACAATTTGAGCACGTGATAAAATAATAGTCTTTGTTACCTACCATGCTTCAAATTCTACAAATCCAGAAATAAAGTATCACTTCAAACAAATTACACTTCAAAATATATAAGGCCATGTTCTTAATATGCCTATTTAAAAAGATCACTTTGTAGAATCTAACCTAAATCATTATTCAAAACAAGAAAATAACAAGTAAATATGGATATTTAAGTTATTCAAAGCTTCATTTATTTATTTAGCATTTTGGGACACAAAAGTTTCAAAATAAGGAAATAACAAGAATATATGAACAAAATTAATTACTTTTATTGTTATACTCATGCACTGTTTCTTTAAAAAAATTTATTAAACCTTCAAATTTTATTTCCTATGAATGCTTATGCTTGTGTTTATTGAATATTTAAAGTTAAACTTATTTGTATTGGTATGGTAAAAATTTAAGCATATTCATCATGTGTGCATATGGTACAAGGACGTTGACATGCATTAAGTAATGTGCCAATAAACTAAATTAAATTAAACATCATGATTGCTTTACTCATAGCTCGATTTTTGATTCTTTTTCTTATTTTTGTCACATTTAAGGGACAAAATACTAAGGATCTTTTTTATATTATTTGTTTTTGTAGATTTTTTATTAGTTGATGATACAATGGAGGAATATTTTAAAGTTGTGGTTCATCATGGGGGTAAATTTGTTACCCATGATACAATGAAATACATGTGATTTAATATAAATTAAAATGTAGTTGTGTTGCTGATAAATGATCATATTTTGAGGTTTTTGACATCCTCAAAGAGATGGGTTATCCTTGTGTAAATGCATTGTAGTAAAAAGTGAAGAGAAGGATTTGAAGGTTGGGTTAAGGAGTTTAAGGATTATAAGGTGTATTATAAATAGTTACCATAGAAAAATGTCATGGGAGGGTGGAGATGTATGTTGAGCATCCTATTTCACTAGTGGAGCTTGTGTAAGGTGAGGTTCAACTATTCAAGGTGTGTTGTATGGTGAGGGTGTTTTGCATGATCCATTTCTACTACACAACCTAATAAAGTGGTTGAAGAGCCCAATGTTAGACCAAAGACAATGGCAAGTAGGAAGAGAGATTCTTGCACTGTCAAATATTCTTGGTAGTGATAGGGAGGATGACAATGAAAACAGTGCCAATAGTACAACTGCTGTAAGATTTAGTGATGAAGAGGAAGAGGCTAATAATGCTAAAAGGGGAACAAAGAAGGATAACAATTCATAAGTAAGCACTAGTACCAAAAAAAAAAAAAGAAAAAAAAAAAAAGACCAGAGACATTAATGTTTATACAAATCAATAATAAGAGACAATTTGGAGTTAGGAAACACCAATCAACATGTCAAAGAAGACTTTGAGACGATGATTACAACTCAGAGGAGTTGGACAGTGGGATAGAGATAGATGACAGTAGGGGAATAAAACCAAAGTACCCAATCTTTATTTTGCCAAAGATGATGAATGACTATAAATGATAAGTGGGTGAATATTTTGCTAGTAAATATGATTTCAATGAGGCAATCACGACATATGTTGTACACTTTGGTAAGAACCTAAAGATTGTAAAAACTGATAAAGGATGAAGATCATTTATAAAGAAGGTTGTCCTTGATCAACATATTGTGCAAAGCTCTCAAATGAGAAGATACGATAGTTAAGGACCTTGAAAATAATCACTCTTGTTGCAAAGGAATATAAATTGAGATCGTTGAAATCCTAATGGTTAAGCAAGAGATTATTCTCTGGTGTCAAAGAGAACAGTAACATTAAAATTATTGATGTAAGAGATTATAAGGTTCATGAAAAATAGAGCTCTAGCATTACTAAGTCTAAGGCCTTATGGGCAAGGTATTTCGCGGTCTTTTGTTGGTGGTTCCTTTAAAGAGCAATACACACACATACATGACTATTGCCATGAACTTTTGAGATCTAATCCAAGGTCTACTATTAAGTTATCAGTAGAAGCTTACCAAGGTGGAAATGAGGATTTACAACAAGTGGAAAGATGTTTCAACCTTACTTTCCAAAGACCTTATGGTTGCTTCAGGGCATGCAAGGAGTGTTTTTTAAAATGTAGACCCACTGTTGGTTTAGATGGTTGTTTATTATATCTAAGACTTGAACTCGAGATTTTGAATTTAAAGACCAATCACAGCACTAGTTAGATCAACAACAGTTAATGTTGGTTTAAAAGCCTGGAGACTTAATTTCTTTTTAAATAAATTATAAATTTATCGGTACACAGTCAATGATATAAAAGGCTTAAATTTTTACTAGAATGGCTATTAAAGATGGGTCTCGTGTTTATGTTACATTGGTAGAAGTTCTAATGCATTTTAATAACAGACTCCGGGAGAAACTAAGAATATCTATCAAAATATATTCAAATAATGTAGTTTTGAATTTATAGAAGAAAAAATTGTGCTTTACAGTGTTCTATACATGCGAAAAATACATGACTTCATAACTACATTAATCATGACTATTTCATTTCTTGGAAGTTGGTAGGGGTTACTTCCAACAATTGATGAGTTGCTTCCAATTGTAGACCAAAGGTTCTGTATGAGACACTTATACAACAATTCCAGGTAGGGGTGTGCAAAAAATCTAAATTGATCTGAATCAATCCATAACCGATCCGATCCATATTAAAAAATCCGATCCATTTTGAAAAAAAATCCGAACCGATCCATTTTTACACAGTGGATCGGTTTGGTTCGGATTGGTTTTCTAAAAAAACCGATCCATATATGAGTAAAAAAGTGGATAGCTGCACCGCACCAAACCGATCCAATTTCAAAAAAACCGATCCATATTTTAAGAAAACCAAACCGATCCACTTTATAAAAAATGGATCGGTTAACCGATCCACTTTTATAAAACAGTTCGGTTCGGTTTGGATCAGTTTTTTGAAAAAACTGATCCATGAACACCCCTAATTGTAGGAAGAAACACCCAGATTAAGGCTAAAGCAAATCATGTATGCGGAAAGCTGCCAAAGCCACATACCCGCAACCCTGGGAGAGAGAAATGAGAAGAAAAAAAATGGCTTACAAGCATAGCATGATCATGTTCATTTGAATTGCATTTGGATCAACAATATTTACTTTTATCATCAAATTCCTCCAAGATACTAGAGTAAATCTAGGTTCACAACAAGGCCTAAATGCAAAATATTACTAAATAATATATGAAGCATTTAATAGTGTACTTGATATATACTTGGGACTAGGCAGAAGCCTATAATCACCATGTCGAAGGAAATACATTGATGGAATCATGCTAATGCCAAGAAAATCAAGAAGTAATACATTGAAGGACCCAAGAAAAATAAATTAATCTTAAAGATCAAAGGAAGATAGTTGAAGAACCTCAATCTCTTCCACTAGAAGCTCCCATCATACATGTATATTTGATGGAGAGGAACAGAAGTTAGCTTTATGGGAGGTATGTAGTATCTACCAAGGATTGAGAAGAGGTTGGACATGGAGTGGTTCACTAGGAAAAATATAATTTAATCTTTAAAATGTAATTTATATATTCAAACTATTTTAATGTTATAAATTTTAATTATAAAAAAATAAATATTTATTTTATATAACGTAAAAGCTAAAATACTGATTAACGGTCAAAGGTTAAACAACTTTCTCTAGAGACACCAAAAAAAACATGATTTGAAAATTGAAAACCTAGGGTTTGAACTCACTGTCCAATACTTTTGATAGGAAACACAGACCACAAGCATTAATTAATTATGAAAAATATATTGTACACTTAAATCTGTGAGAAATTATAAATGAGTATATATTTACGTAAATAAATAATATAATATTATAAAATCAAATAAATAATAATTTATACTTTTTAATTAATACTATTTATTTTAATTATAACTTGATTAGTTTTAATATTCATTATCATATATTTTTTTTAAACATGGTATCGGTAACTACACCGAAAGCAATAACAAATATTTATAGAAAATCATAAGTGCACACAAGATAGATATTTTTTTATAACATAATCTATTCTATACTTAAAATCAAAATTTAAACTCTAAACATCTTGATTAAGGGAGGATACAAGTTACTGTGACTTGTGTCTACTCCAAAACTTTGATAATAAACACAAACCATTATTCTATGCAAACTTGCATGGAGGATGAAATAGACAACTCATAAATCCATTAAAAATTTTCATAGAAATTAGTGATTGGCTTTATCATTGTATAGAATTGTATCTTTTCCCAATCTAAACTTTCCCTATTAAAAAAAAAAAACACAAGACCATTAGAGTGCTAATTAATCATTTATATGTATTACAGGCAAAAATAAATATTATATGTATGAAAAATATATTATAATCTTAAATATGTGAGAAACTATAAATGCATACATTTTTAGCACTAGTAAATATTTAATATAATTTTATAAAATCAAATCAAATAAATAATAATAACTTCTACTTTTTAATAATATTTATTTTAATTATAACTTAATTGCTCCATTTTAAATATTCCTTCTTTTATAAAATTGCATTTTTTTAATTCTTTTAGTTATGTTTTTAATAATTTGGTGACTGAAATAAGATATATCATTGATGTAACAGTTTTTGATCATTTGTCACTAGAAATTTTTCTTAAATATAATTACACTTCAATAATTAACTATTTGCCACTATTTTAATTTAATACTAAAACTGTAAAAAATAAAAAAATAAAAAAAAAAAGAGAGAGAGGTTATTTTTATGATTGAAATAAGATATTATTAAAAAAAATTATTATTATTTTTGCGCCTGGACAAAACACCTTTTTCTAAAAAAATTTTTTTAAAAAAACAGTAACCTTTTGTGAAAACTTTGAAAAAATGAGTTCTGTTTGAAGTCAACGAATTTGTTCACTATTCCAATTCTAGAACATTACCATGGATAACACAGACACAGTAAATATACAAAAGCATAAAAACTTTCACCAATATGAATAATAATTTTAAAAAAAAAATCATTCTATACAAGGGACATTCAACCATCCAAATAAAAAATGAAAATTAAAAAATATAGGAACAAAGTAATTGCCTAAAGTTAATATATCAACATAAGTCTGTACAACTTCATAGGTACAATGTTCTGATGCCAACAAATAAATGAGTTGGACAACACAACTGTCTATATGTGCTAGTTCATATTCATATACATAATATGAATTCTTTAGAAAAATTTAGTGGCTTAGAAGTTAGCATCAAGCAACAGAGAGATATGTCAATTTCATTGTTTTTCATTCACACTTCTCTCCATGTGTCAATGCTTCTGATTTGCATATGGGGCAGACATTTTTCACAAGTAACCATTTCCTTAAACAATCTTCATGATATTCGTGCCCGCATTGAAGAATTCCAATCTTCTCTTGATTCTTATATTCATCCTGTGAAATCATACACAAGTATTCCAATTAATAGGGAAAATGGGTAAACATTCTTTGTACATCAAACTCGAATTAAGAATTGTCCGAAAAAGTTTTGCATTTGATAGATCAAATTCAATGGCCAAAATAATATTGAATGAAACATGCTGATAAAATTCTTACCTGGCATATTGTGCAAGAATCAGTTTCTTGTTCATCAGATGGTGCCTCCTCCAAGTTAATAGCATTAGTAGGTAGCAAATAAGTTCTTGTCTTCATTTGAATTGTAATCATTTCCTCTGACAAACCCGTGTTTACATTGCCAATCCTCTCACCTAATGCAAGAAGCTCCTGTTGTCCAATTCCAAAGAGTTAACAAATTATAAAGTTTTCCATAGTAACTAAGTTTTTAGCTTCCTAGACCTCAGTCATAGCTGATCTACATTGATAAGAAAGTACAATTTCAGATTGCTGACTTGTTTGAACAAACTTCTCCAAAAACATTTTTAAGAAAAAAAAAAGAAAAAAAAATAAACTTTTGCATAAACTAAAAATAACTTAAACATAAGTTAAAAATAAAAATTTTTAGAGAAGCTATATAAGAGAGCTTCTACAAAATAATTTATACACAAATTAATTTTAATTTAAAGAGAAACTTATTTCACTTTTTTTTTCTTATTTTTCTTTCTCAGAAACTTCTAGAGAAGTTTACTCAAACATTCCCTAGTCCCCATATATACTTGCCTCATAAGACATATCCTCAATGTCCAAGCGCATATCTCTATGGTGGTCAACTAGTAAAGCAACATCCTGCATAAAAATTGATAAGACAATCAATATCTATATGTAAAAAATGTAGGATTCTATCTAAATCTAGTAAAATGGACAATAGAGTACCAAAAGCAGTGCAAAGAGAGGTAGGAAATATTACATCAACTTGGAAAAAGGCCACGGGAGGAAGATTCCGATGTCTAAGAGTTGTCTCATGCATGTTGCCTCTATGAGGTCGGTGTATACGTGCACCTGCAACTGGCACAGGGCCAGCATGCCTAGCACCTATCTCCAAAGCGTTTTGCACAAGGATTGAAGAACTACGCGAAGGATTTGCTTGAACTCTGTATGAAGGTGCAGTTACTGAAGGGTGAAAGTTGACAGAGTGACCTCTAATCTCTTGCGCAGACTGTGTTTGGTGATGAAAGTTATGGTACTGTGCATTGGCAGGAGGAGGATGGGGAAATCTGAGGCCACTTCTGCTGGCAGCTGTATCATGATATCTCTGCAAACCCATTCTTGCATTCTCTGATGAACTTCCATTAGCACTGGGAGCTGGAGAATAAGAGCAACAATCAGAAAGACCAAATTCATTCACTACATGAAGAATATACAATAAATTTGAGTACATTGCTTGGCTCTTGAATCAACACTGAGGGAGGCAGATTATACATGGAAGATAGAACAACTAAAGATTTACCATTTATCCATAATTTTTAGTTGCATAATAGTTTGCATTAAAAAAAAGACTTCCATAAAAGTCGTTGTTGGGTTAATTGGTTGAAACTTGAAAATACCTCATTCAAGAAGCTTTAGTTTTCACTTTTTAAAAGTATAAAAACATCTTTAGAATGTGTACACAGATTCCCTGTATCGCATATATAGTGTTATAGATAATTCACTGGCAAATCAAGCAATATTAATATACATGAACGAACCTGTCCAAATATGGAACTGCAGAACAACAAAGGAGAAAGAAAAAATCCTTACCTTGTACATAGGGCATTGGAAGAGACTGATGCCAAGCCAAAGCACGACCATCATTAGTATTGCTATTCAATTGTTGGTCGGTCCATGGAGAAGCAACTGGTTGAAAGTGCTGGCCTAAATAGTTTCCTTGAATCAAATGGTTATGGTTATGCACCATCATAGACTCCCCCGATCTGCTCCACGAACTACAATGCGGTAGCGAAGGGATGCCATTTTCGGCATGTCTTGCATTAGGTGGAGCAGCCGAAGAACTAGCCGAGGCATTGAAATGTTGATAGTTTCCTCTCATCCCTTCATCATTTTTCCATTTGTATGCTCCATTGACCGCAAATGTGCTTGAACCTGACAACTGGCCAGAGGCTCCATGATTTTGAGACACGGCAGTACTAGTTGAAGGATTCATGCCAGAATAGTACAAGTTGGCAGAAGCTGGAACACCCATATGAAGATCAGGTTGATGCTGAATTCCAGTGTATTGTGTCATGCCATACAACATACCATTGTCATAAGCATCTAGTAAATAATGGGAATCAGGATTAGTTGCATTCCCTGAAGCCGTCACCACCGTGCAGATATTAGGCCGAGAAACATTGGCGCCTCTAAAATTGATACTTTCAGAATGGAAATAGCCCTGCCCTTGTTGACTCATCTGATCCATATCATAGAAATTGGTTGATGCAACTTAATCCTAATATATCAAACCAGAATGAACAAAATCAGGCGCTGGAAAAGTAATTAAAACCAAAACAACAAAAGAACCTGAAGTCACACTTAAATTTTCTTATCAACCTTGGTCAGCGGCTAAACAATCTTTTCAATGAATAACTTAATAATTACATCGTTATAGCAGATTTTATCAGGCACAGACATATCACACACAATGAAGCTAAAAATAAAATAAAAAATCAATTTTTTTTTCAAAGATAGATAGACACCCATTAGAGAAGAAAAAACAATAAAAAAATATTCTTATCAAGTCACGAGTACTACAAAATTTAATCAGAAATCACAGTTGAAAGAAAAACGTTAAGTTCTTCTATCTTCAAAGTTAACCATACCCTTTTCTAATTTTCCAGAATACAATCCCCTTGACCCCAGAAAACAAAAAAAAAAAAAAAACAAAAAGCAAATAATAATAATTTCCTACACACCCAAAAAAGTCTCATATTTCTTATAAATCAACCTTAAAACTCACGAGAACCCAAGATGACAACATCACGAGTTGTCCAATGATTCAAAGCTTCAAAACAGGAATATTCATCCATGAAGCAAAGAAAGGCATATAAGCATTCCAAATCACAGCATAAAACAATAATAAATAAAAAACTTTCAACCACAAGAAACACGCCCATAAGATCATCAAAGCGGTTTTTGCTAGTTTTAAGGTAACCCATCAAAAGAATTCCTGAACGGTAATAAAAGAAACAAATTTAACACAAAACCACAGAACCCAAAATCAAAAAGAAAAACACAAAATTGAGGAAGCAACGAACGGCATCATGGTCCATCCCCACCGACCGAACAACACTGAAATTGATGACAACATGGGCATCCGTACCTCGTTATCATGAAAATCACGCGACCTTTCCCAGGTTTCCGAACCCAAAATGAAGCAAGTGAAAAAAGCGCGTGAAATTAGAATGGATCGCGAGGAAAGTAGCGAAATTTTGGCGGAGAATGATGAGGATAAAGGGATGAAGCAAGTACAACGCGAGGAAGGAAGAGAGAAGGAAAGAGAAAATATAAGAGAAGGCTTAATAACACCTGTTGTTTTCAATCCATCAATATTTTATATATAGTTTGACATTATTCAAGTTTATTTCGTGATCAAGATATCATATAATATTTTATCAAAGAAAATAAATAACATAATAGTGAAACAAGTTTTAATTTTTTTCTTATGTGCCTGTACAGATGTTATTGGATTTTATCAAGATTACTTCTCATAAGAGGTACATGTGATCTAAGATTAAAAATAAAAATCTTCAAGTCAAAATAAAAAAAAAATATAATGTTATTTTTTTCATATTATAATTATATATATATAATAATATGAATAAAAAATTTATTTTTCATATATATATATATATATATATATATATATTTATATA